GCTGAACATCTTTTCATGTGCTTATTGGCCATTTGTATGTCTTTGCAGAAAAGTCTATTGAGATCCTTTGCTCGTTTTCTTTTAAATTGGATCATCAATATTTTTTGAATCTTGTTTTCTTCTTCGGTAGAAGGAGAACGTTATGTCCTTCACAGAGTTGTTGTGAAGATTCATGAGAGAGCGTTGGCAAGGCACACAGTTCTCTGCATTTAGCACTTGCTCCAAAAAGTTAGTGAACCTTCCCCTCACCTAGGCATTTTGCATTACATCATCCAGCACAGCATTTTTGCTTGAAGACAGAGTCAATAAATGTCTGAAAGGGTAAATGTGCCAATTCACACCACTCAATATTCAAATCTGAATCCTATGTTTTTTGTCCCTTTGCTCCCATTTCCTTCATTAAACCTTTTCTTCCTGGAACAATTTTCTTAATTTCATTCCCCTTGCCAGCTGTCTCCTCTCCTGAAACTCAACTTGCAGTATCACTGAAGCTGATTACAAGGGAACCAAAGACACCGCCTGACACAGTTCTGAGGTGAAAATGATCAGCCTTTGAAGAAGCTAAATAACTGACAACCTGTCAGTATAACCTGCCCCCTGCTGGAGCCTCAACAAAAAGGAATGAAGGTACATAAAGAGATGAGAGAAATGAAATTTACAAATAAAACCCTGATTGCAGATGGATGGTTTTTAACAGTTTGGTAACCCCTGATGACCCAACCTGCTCTGGGGCACGGCCCTCTTTTTCATTTGTAGAGGACCCAGGCCACCATCAGGCCCAAAGACTCGATGTTGGTGGGAACCCTCTAAGGCTGTGGAGCCTCCAGTGGGCCGAATTTGGGTGTCGGAATGGAAACAATTTGATCACTCAGGCCAGGTGGTGAGTCCAGCTTGATCTTCACACTTATTCAGCAGCTGCTTTGGCAAACCTCAGCTTAAGCGCCCTGGGCATAACGTGAAAGGGCGAGCACAGGTGTGGGAAAGTGTGACTTGTTTCTCCTTGCACCTTCTTGAAGGCCAGCCCAATGCCAAAGACACCTTGGTGAGAATATATGGGTGCGTGCAGTTGCCTGATCAGAAGGATCTCCTGGATTTTGCCTTGGGCGCGGGGATAACGGGAACGTGAATAACAGTGGGGTTTGGGGGTGTGTTGGATTCGGAGGTGGGACAGTGGTCTGGGAGTCTAGGGCGGGCTTGGGGAGTGCTGGGGGTAAGATAGTGGTGGTGGTGGGCTCCTGGGGTGCAGGGACCGGCTCGAATTCGTCTTCATATCTTGGGTCTAGCTCGGTGCGCGGCTCAGGCTTTGCTGTTTGCTAGCTGTGGGAACCTGGTAGGGAAGTAAGAGGCAACCCCAGTCAAGACAGCCAGGCCGCACCCCGACCCGGCGGGGAACTCGGTTCGAGCAGGTATTTTTTGACTTCAGCCCAGAGGGGCTGGCAGCCGGCAGGGGCTGGGCTCCAAGGAAGCCCTGGAGGGTCGCAGCCGGCCGAGAGGCCCGGTCTTAACCAGTCCCCGGCTGCCTCCGCCGCGGAGGATCTAGGCAAGGCCGCGTGTGGGCGGGATGAGCCAGCCTGCACTTCTTATTGGACAAAGGCCCTTGTCAATCACTGAGGAAACCTGTCTGGACGCGACCGGACATCCGGAATTCCCACCTCAGAGGGAAGCGGGCTCGGGTGGAGGCGGGGAGCGATGGGAGGATGCGGTACCCAATGTCAAGCAAGAGCTCCGCCTTCGCAGTAGATTGGCAGATGCTTGAACCACTGAGGCGCCGCTAAGGATATTGGCCGTGGAGAATGATTGGTCCAATCTGCGGGTGCGTGGTTCTTCAGAGTATATAAAGTAGGCAATTAACTCTCGGTTGAAATCGTGCTGCAGACGGAGGTTTACTTTTGTTCGTGTTTTGACTTCCACTAAGGCTCCTGAATTTGGTGAGCTTTCCCTGGAATTATCTAGGTTCCCTTCTCAATTCAGGATCAGGGCTTGAGGATGACGGGTGCTGTACCCCAAATTATGGCCAGATAATCGGAAATGGGTGCTGTTCGGTGAATTAAACCTGAGATTAAATGTTTGGTGGTCAGTGGAAAACAGGAAGAGACAGGTACGGGCAGTTTACAGGGGGGAAAAAAATGCAAGGAGCCCCTAAACATTTGAATGGTTGTGCAAACTTTTACATAATAAGGAAAATGCAAATTAAAGTTTCACTGAGCTAACATTTTTGACCTAACAAATTGACAAAAATCCAAAATTTGACAAGGTTCTCTGTTAAGGACGATGCAGTGGCCCAGATAGTATCGATTTTTCGTCCTCCCGACACTTATGAACAAACAAATGTCTCCTCTTGCTTTCAGCTTGCAGGGTAGGCTGTTATCTTATGGTCGTCTGTTAAGTTCTCGCATTGACTCCCGGAAACTTTGAAGAACAAGTTCTGAGTCTGCAGGTACATTTTTTCGAAGGTGCTTTGATTTTCCTGACTAGTAGCAGTACTGAGATCTGGTGGGACATATGGGTGTCAGTTGGAAATGGGTTTTGTTTTAAGAGGACTCTTCTGGCAACTGGTGTGCCAGTGAAGCAGATGAAGTGACAGAAACCATATAAACAGAAGATGGAGTTCATCTGGAAATGGCATCAGAGCCGCCCAAGAATTGTAGCAAGCCAGCAGTGCTTCCACAAAGCATCAGAGGCCCAGAACCTGGGCAACAGAACCACCACCCAGGAAGAGTGTCACATATTCTGGGCACTCCAGACACTGGCTTCCAAGTCCCCACCAGGTGACAGGTCCTGTCTACCCAGTACCCATCCCTCCCACCCCTTTCTCACAGAGCCCCAGTGAGGTCCAGTGGCCCCCTCCTCTGGATGGCTAAGTGTTCAGGGGATGCCAGCCCCAGCCCCAGGCATCTCAGCCAACCCATCTCCTTGCTAGTGATTGGTGGAGGCATGGACACATGACATTCTGGCCAATTGGGACCCAAAAGGGGAGGGTGCACCTGAATTGGTTCCCTCACTCCTAGGACACAAAGAAGAGATGGCCCTTTTCCTGCTCCTGGATGTGATATCTGAACTCCTGCAACCATCGTGCAACCATGAGGAGAGCTGGTCTGTGACAACAGCCCACAGTGCAAGGAAGACCAAGTTAACAGAAATGTAGCTTGGGCCCTGACCCTAATGGACCTACAGGCATTCTGCCTTTGGACTCCTCCCGTGCCCTAATTCTGCTTTTGTTTAAGACAGTTGAGTTGGAGTTTTCAGTTCTTTGCAGTTGGAACATCTTAGCTGAACCAAGTATAGAAAAGTTCCTTCAGTTTACTTTTCCCATAGCCATGAGCATTTCGACTCACGTACCCACGAGTCATTCCTGTTTGTTTGGTATAATCAGAAGAAGGACTGGAAGAAGGAGGTGAAGAAAGAAATATAAAGCGGCTACAGGGCAGTGCAAGTTCCGCTGACATGCACTTAGGGGGCAGGGAGATAAAAAACAACCCAGGGGGGTCCTTGGGGCCTGAGAGAGGGAACAAACAATACTTAAATCATAACATTTTTAAAAAGCAGTAACAAAAAAGATAAAAATATTTTTTAAAAAAAGAAAAAAGAACTGACATTTGGGTATAACAACAGACACACAGATCAGACCCTCCTGCTATGGACTGTCAGCAAAGAAGCAAAAGCAGTTACAGTGATTTGGGGGGAGGCCTGGGAAAAACCCTAACAAGCAAGAGAGGATAAAAGAAGGTTCACTGTGATCCCGTGATAATTATTAAATTGTGGTACGTAAAACGCCACTGCTTCTTTTAATTTCGTGTGTTTAGTTTTATTTCAGCAAATAAAAAATATTCTCAAGAACTATCTTAGGTTGTCCCTTTAGTGTACCCTCCTAAATTCAGCTTGCTATGAATTTTTCTGCCAGTGGGGTGATCAGATACAGGACCTGGGCAGAGCGGAAGAATCGCTGTTATTTCCGTCGTCATGCACTCACTGACTCACTGAACTTTACTGATGTGCTAAGGTGGCCCAGACTCTCTCTGTGAGGTCATTTTGGCATTTTATTGAATGCTGACTTGTGAGGTTCTCTTTTCCTGCACACATGCCTGGCTTCTCCAAAGGACTTTATTTTTATGTATTTATTTTTGGCCGTGCCATGGCTTGCAGCTTCTTAGTTTCCCGACCAGGGATTGAACCCACACCCTCAGCAGTGAAAGCGCTGAGTCCTAGCCACTGGACCACCAGGGAATCCCCCTCTGCACGACTTTAATCTCTCTAAAGGTAGGACTGTGTTGTGTATTTTATTTCCATTGACAGTGTCTAGCACAGGTCTAGGTGTGTGATAAGCACTCATAGAAGTCTTAATTGTATATAAAGTAAGTCTCACGCTTAAATAAGAGAAACTTAGAGGGTCTTAACTCTGATACTGTTGCCTTGGTCCAGGATCGAAGGTGAGCCTTTGAATCAGACTTTCTGCTTTTTAGGGATGCTCCCCTACCGCTCGCTTCCATACAGTTACAGAAGTGTCCAGAAATCCTTCTAAGGAAGAAGAAGGTGTCGTGTTATTAGACTGGATGCTTGGGCACTGGGACCTGATACTCATCCCACAGCACCCCTGAATTCTTTCAACACCATGTGCTGGGGCTGCTGAGGCTTCGAGCCAGACCTTCTGGGCTGCTGCCTGCTCAGGGTCTGCACGGAAGGTCTAATTTGGATCAGATGACAGCCTCGGAGGGGAGCCCATGTGACAGCTGGAAGCTCACCAGCAGGCAGAAGCCACACAAGTCAGGGATTTTTCTTCTCTGAAGACAACAGTCCTGATTCCTATGACATGATATCTAAATTGCAAGAACTGAGCAACCCTGTATATGATCTACCTCTACATCTATGTATATGAGATAAACTGAAGCCTACAGAAGTCTGAGAGTGGCACGGGCTCGGGTCCCGGGGCCGGGGCAGAGTCACGGCCCCACTGTGGCTGTGTCTTGCCAGGCGGAGGCGCCTACATGTCGTAGAGCCGGAGCTGGTCCTGCACGTCGCCGTCCGACATCTCGCCAAACGTCTCCTTGTTGTCCTTCATGAGCTTGAAGATGGCAGCCAGCTGTTCTTTCTGAACTCTGTCAAGAAGAAAGGATAAAGAGGAAAAAGATGCTCCCAAACCAGGGGAGAGAGAGAGGCCGTGCACATCTCGTGGAGTCGGGACACTCCTCACTCCTGTATTGCTGCTTTGCTTTCCAGAATAAGAAGAAAATGAAACTAAAACAAAACCCACTCTTAACACAGGAGCTGATTTGGTCTAAAAAAACCTCAACTTGAGACTTCTACAAACTGGGGTTCTAAGTCTTGGGTTTACCCTGGAGATTTGGGGATCCCAAGTTATCACTCAGGTTCTCGGTGCTACAGTTTCCCCGTGGGCCTCCCTTTTTTTTCGGTCGTGCCGCACGGCCTGCAGGATCTTAGTTCCTGGACCAGAGATCGAACCCTGCTCCTTGGCAGTGAGAGCTCGGAGTCCTAACCACTGGAGCGCCGGGGAATTCCCGGGCCTCTCTTTAATGTTGACTACACACCTCCCCGGGAGGCCACGAGGAAGCAGAGGTGCTCCATTAGGCGGCTAGAGAGCCTATGAAGAGACATGTTAGAAACAGCCTTCGTTTAGAGGGATAAGCCAAACGTGGAGGAAGAAGGAACACAACTGGCTGGGAAACGGGAGCATACAGATGTGTGCACAGGGTGCTTGGTCCAGGGGCAAGGGTGGGTGTGGGGTCTCGCTGCCCAGAGGAAGGGGCGCCTCTTTCCAGTTTGCACAAAGACACCTTATAGCCAGCAGGGGCCCTGGCCCTTTTACCAGGGAAGAGGCCTGGCTGGAGATCGGCTTTACGTTCACCACACACGGGCTGGGGGGCCGGGGGGATGCTGGGAGTGATGTTCTGTCATCTCTCTGCGGCTGGGCCACGCCATCGGATCAGCACGGGACACCTCCCACGAGTGCAAACGTGAAAGGGCGGGGTGAGACTCTGCAGCCACGGTTTGCTTCCTGTTCGTTCTGTTGTGCTGTGCTCATCAGCGAGGCTGGGCGCTGTGTGCTAGCATGGGCTCCCCGTTGGGTTTCAGGCTTCTGCGGTCCCCCCCCGCCACACACCGCCCTGCTGGCTCGGCACGGGCCACCTTCAGAGGATGTAAACCAAATGACAGGGTCTGCTCTGGTCCCTGCAGACCCACCAGGAGGCAGAGCTTCAGCACAGCCTCTGGCCACCCTGGCCCTGCAGGGCACAGCACTGTCCAACCAGCACCCCAACCCTGCCTAGAGGGGGATCCGATCGATGTCTGGTCTTAACGCTTGTCCTAACATAGTCCTTCTGCAGTAACCCCATATCTCCCAAACAGCAAACAGTTGGTTTTCTGACTACAGCAGCATCTAGAAGCTGAAATACCGAAGTCCCAAATCCAAGCCTCTCTTAGTCACGCTGGGAAAGTTATTCCTACAGTCTGCTTTCCTGTCCGGAGGAGAAGGAGCCTGTGAGAAGTAGGCGATACCCTACCACCTGAAGAAAGGGGTACTGTGAATTGACAGGCTGTATGTCTAGCTCTTTGGAAGGAATCACAATCCAGGTGTATGAGTGGGCATCCCCCCAAAGGAACACAAATCCTCTTGTGTGTCTCTTAATGGCCGTGGCGCTTGCATATTTTTAAGAGGGTGGGCCTAGGACTTCGCACTGTGCTGGAGAGTAACGGGCACAAATTGAGAGAGAGCTCAAATTTTAATGGGTTCAAAAAGGTGATTTTTTTAAAAACAAAGCAAAACTGAAATAAACACAGTAATCAAGACCATCTACTCAAAGTTTATTGGACCGAACAAAGGCTGAATACACAGATCCCAGCCATTGGGAGTATGTGAGGCTTGGTGCCTACAAGCCACGTTCAGAAAGTGTCCAGACAAACTTAATACCTGGAAGGAGTCACCTATTTTTCAGTCAGACCCCGGCCTGGACAAGGACATTGCTGTTGCTACTGCTGTGTGGGTCAGGCCACATGGCTCTGTGTGGCTGTTGCTTTGTTGCCTGTTCTGTCCTAAACCCGTGAACCTAAGGTATTAGACCCAGAGGAGAAGGTTCCTGGGAATGTACCATGCCCCAGGCTGACAGTGGACATTTCCCGGCCTTCTACTAAATAGAGGAGAAAAAAATTTTTTTCTATAAACTTACTGCTTTCAAAAAATGTTTTAACCAACACATCTAAAAACTACAGATTAGTTTGGTATAGTATAAATATTGTCAAATATAAAATTCCAAGAAATGAATCTGGGACTGATCTGATTATCTGGAGAAGTTCTAGCTCATCTGTGAAACCTAGGAAAAGGCAGACTCGAGACACAGCTGTTTTAAGCGAACACTATCATTATTGCTTCTGCGAAAGCGAAGGTGGACATTCCGCTGAGCTGGTAGGAACATCAGTGAAAAGGCCTCTTAGCAACAAGCGGGCTGGATCCGAGCCTGCTCTCAACGGAGGGTAAGGGCAAGAGGAAGTCAACAGCTGGTTCTGCTTCTTTGCTGCCCACTCATCGATCATCGGGCTCTCGCCCCCACAGCCGAGCCGGCCGAAGACAGAGAGGGGGAGCGGGCCCCAAGGGGAAGGAGGGCAGTCGACCGGGCAGCGAGCACAGGCAGCTCTCCCTCATTTGTCCATCACACCTCAAAGTCTTTCCTGGTTTGGCTTTGGTGATGAAAAGCAGGAGGACTGGAATGAAACTACCAATTTTAAAATGATGGCATTGCTGATACTGGTGATATCTCAGGTGCAAAGCGTGTGTGGGCAGGAAGGTTGAGTGATAAGGAAAATAAAAGTCCAGGAAAACCCTTCAGCTTAACAAAGCAATCCAGGCAAACAGGGAGGAATGCCTCTACAGGGGAGCGCCACGGGCATTCGGGATCCTCCCAGCCAAGGAAAGTCCTGGATGGGGGCCTATATGGGAAAATGCGCCCCAGGAGCCTGCTGGCTCCTCTCTGGGGGTTCCACTTTATCTCTCAAGTTTTAAGATGCCAAAAGGAAAAGCCTTTAGGAGGAGGCTAAGGATAACTTCATTATTCCTCGGTTCTGTAAAGAGAAATAAGGAGAAAAGATAATTTATTTCACTCATGCCATCTTACAAGTACTGCAGGAAAGGAAAGGGGGAAACGGGGTGAGGAAGGGGAACGTCTGGAATTGCAGAAGCCAGCCCAGACGCTGGGATCCAGACCCAGGGGAGTTTGCCTCTCATCACCTGCTGCAGGACAGCCCACTAACCGAAGCCAGCCTGAGACCCCGTTCCACGTCTGCAAGGCCTACAGGGGCAGGTCAGGGCCCACCTGTAGGTGGTTTAGCAGGTAGGGTGCCCTTGTAGGTAGTTTAGTAGGTAGGGTGCCCTCGTAGGTAGTGTAGCAGGTAGGGTGGCATTGTAGGTAGTTGTACAGGTTGGGTCCCACCTGTAGGAGCGAGGCAGGTCAGGTCCCACTTGCAGGTAGTTGGTCAGGGGGCATCCTCAATAAGATAGCTGGGCAGGTCAGGGCCCATTTGTACATAGTTTAACAGGTAGGGTCCCACTGTAGGTAGTTTGGCAGGGAGCGTCAGACTTTAGGTAGTTGGGCAGGTAGGGTCCCAGAGTAAATACTTGGGCAGGGCAGGTCTCTCATTTAGGTATCTGGGCAGTTCGGGTGCCCATGTGGGTAGTTAAGCAGGTTGAAGCCCACTTGTAGGTAGTTGACAGGGAGGGTCCCACTTACAGGTATTTGGGCAGTTTGAGTCTCACATGTGGGTGGTTAGGCAGGGAGGGTCCTCAATTAGGCAGTTGGACAGGGAGGGTCCCACAGTAGGTAGCTGGGCAGGGAGGGTACCACATGTTGGTATATGGGCAGTTTGGGTCCCACATGTAGGTGGTTGAGCAAGTCGGGTCCCACACATGGGTATTTAGACAGGGAGCATCCTCAGGTAGCTGGGCAGCTTGGGGCCCACTTGTGCACAGTTTAACACGGAGGGTCCTCAATTAGGTAGTTGGGCAGGGAGGGTACCACAGGTGTGTTGTTGGGCATGGGGTCCACATGTAGGTCGGTGGGCAGGGAGGGTGCCACAGATACTTAGTTAGGCAGGTCAGACTGCGAGGGTCAGATCCTCAGCTTTGTGGCCGCTCTGGGCTGGTCCTCTCTGGGCCAGTCCTCTCACCGTAGATTATTTCTTATCCTTGCTGGGTAGGTTTTGTCCCTTCTGGGGACAGTGGCTTCCAAGGACATGTGCTCCCCAGATGGCACAAATGGTGTGCCCACCTTTTGCAAGGGACATGCAGAAGCGCTGGTTTACCCAGGTGAGCGCTGAGGGAAACCGGTGGGATTCAGTTTTATCCCTCTGGCGCCCTCATGTGTACGTGAGTCAGCACGTGTTCCTAGAAATTCACACAGGTGGGTGGTTTGTGGACCCATCAGAGGGCAGAAAGCAGGAGAATATCCATTCACCCTTGCCAGTTATGCATTTCAAAACACCATCCACTAGAGTGGTGTCCACTTCCAAAAACGTCAGGCCAGTCCTGGGGACCTTCAGAATGGAATGGGTGCTGGGGTCCTGGGTCCTCACTATCAGAGCCAACCTAGTCTACCTCCTTGGGTTCCACTTTTCCCCTGGACCAGAAGATGGGAAGAAGGGACGGTGTACAAGGAAAGGAGTAGCCGATGGTGCCTCTTCTTTTTGCTGCCGAGCTAGAAGTCAGCCAAGCTCGCCAGCTTCACTGGCCCTGGGGGTGAGGGGGTGGCATCTTGCTGCGGGGAGCAGTCATAACCTGCAAGCCCAGTGTCCCAGCCACGCTGAGGCTGGATACGGCACCTCCCAGAAAAGCTGCGGGTGGAACGCAGGGGCACCCCCATCCCGGCAGAGGCAGTGCTGAGGGAGCCTGTGAGCTCCAGCCCCAGGGGAGACCCAGCAGGAGGTGGGCAGACGGTGAGGAAGCAGGGTCTTTCTCAAGCAGCATGTCTCTGGATTTGCAAGCCTTACACTTTCTGCCCCTTGGGCAGAAGGAATCTCATCTGTGAGCTGCTCCAAGGATGGGAACGCCCAGTTATTAACCACGTGGAGGAACGAATTTGGGGTCTCTTTCTCTGGGTCCTGCTTACCAAGTGCCATGCCCTGAAAACTTGTGAACTGCAGCTTCTGAGGAACTCTGGGTCTTGTGACTACTAAAGATGTACGGTCTAGATACTGCTGTGCTGGCCAAGGTAGAGAATTTAAAGTCAGGGGTTTGCAGCATGGGTTTTTAACCAGCTTGCAACTTGACGGGGACCCTGAATGCCAGGAAGGGAATCAGAAACAAGCAGAGTTTGCTCCAGAAGAATTTGACAGGCAAAGAAGAGCACACACTTTTCACTGGCCTGTGGTTTTAGTGGTTTGACAATATTTTTTTTTTTTTCTTGCGTTATGCGGGCCTCTCACTGTTGTGGCCTCTCCCATTTGCGGAGCACAGGCTCCGGACGCG